TATGAGCTGTTCTGCAATCTGATTGGTTGAATTACTCGCCGTATATTAGCTCATATACGGCGAGTAGCGAAACACAAGTTGGCGGTCCAAAAACTACATGAGTTTTGCGAAGCAGAAAAAAGGAAAATATTCGCTTTGAGAAAGATAATAGTACAAGGAAAAACTCTCAAAAAAATTTGACAGGTTAGCAAAATACATTTATTACATAGAAATTAGTTTAAATACAAGTTTTTTTAAAGAATTAATACCGAAACAACAGCGAAAAAAACATGTTCATTGAGAATATAAATTGTTCAGAAAAGTTTGCAACGAAAGACAAATGAATTTGCAGTCAACAAGCACTTACTATACTACCAAACATCTGTATAATATATCTGAGCTTTTCTGTGAGATATACCGGTTCTAAAACCATTTCTTTCACTTTGTCTTCGAGTTGTAAAACAAAAGTATTTCAAATTTTCAAGGCCAAGCGGTTTTTGGCCGAACAAATTGTCAAGACATTGTAACAGAGGATAATTAATTATTGCTTCAGTTAATGGCTATTAGACTATATTATAAAACAATTATACCATTCGCTCTCGTCGTATATGGCTGATAGCCGACTCGGTGCTACTCACCTTGTCGGCTATCAGCTCATATACGACGAGAGCGAATGGTATAATTGTGAAATATATATTATTATATGTAGTTATTAATTTAAATGTTTAACAATTCAGGGTTTGTCCACTCTTTGTTACGACAGCAAAAAATATAGTACGTCGCTCTAATGGCATAAGACGTCATCTTTTTTATGCAGCTTTCTATCCATTCATATAGTGTCTAACATTTCTAAAAAGGTGAAGCATTCTTTGTCAAACACACCGAGAGAGCTCAATGATGAATTTACAAATTTAACAGAACTAAATTGACTCCTTTGATCTTCAATTAGGTCTTTATATTTAGCTTTTTTGCGTTCAACGTTATTATGTAGGTTAGATTCAAACCCGACAGTAAGTTCAACGACATAAAGATCTTCATTTGGAGTAATTAGGAGTAAGTCCGGTCGATATATGTCACCAGTTATAATTGACGGGCTTTTGTAGCCAGGTAGGTCAGCATAAAGTCGACATGGATTTATTGTTTGAAACGTTTCAGCGAGAAAGTTTAAAATAGAATCATGTCTCCAAGTAAAGCGCTGGAGGTACGATTGGCAGCCGGCTACCACATGTAGTAGGGCTTTAGGACACAAGCAAAAGGAACATTCGGGACTTGAAGCTAAACCCCATCTTGTAAGATTTTTTCGCGTAGGAAGAGAGCTATTTATGTAACGGACGGTGAAGTTGAAAATGTTCTTTGGCAGTTTTGATTGAGCCGCAGACCAAAGTGTGTTTAACTGTGAAAGGGAAAACTTAGCCACATTTGAGAAAAATGAACCTTGACAAATTAAGCGGTGCTGAAGCTTGTCTTCTTGTCCAGAATGAATATCCTTAAGAACTTCCTTTGTTGAATTATATATGTCATATTGAAAATTAGTGTCATTGTTAGTTGATTTCCAGAGTTCTTTTATGGGATCATTTGGGGATGTTTTTAAGGCATCGCGTAGGACAGTTTGACATTGGATAAATTTGACGGATGCAGGGAGGATATTCAGACCAAATTTGTTATGGGTTAGATAAATATTACTTATTTTTCCAGAAATGGGTATTTCAAGCCACTTTCTGATGTATTGATTAATCACAGAATCGATTGTTTCCGTTACCCAGGTTTTCGACAGAGGTGCAACAGTGAGATGCCAGGATATTTTGGATAGGACGTAACGGTTGTATAGAAGAAGTTTGTTTTTTTGGGTGTAGAGGTTTAAGGTTTATAATTATAATAATAATAATAATAAGAAGAAGAAGAAGAAGAAGAAGAAGAAGAAGAACTGATTTATTTCTAAAACGCACATATCCTACTCATGAAAAGAAAGCGGAATTGCAATAATCAAATTTTGATAATATAAGCGCATGCATTGCAATTGTCTCCTTCGTCTCGGTTAACATGATTTCTGTCTTGCCTTGATTTAGTTTCAGTTCATTTGAGATCATCCAGTTACGTATAGCAGCCACACAATTTTCAATTCAACATGTAATTAGCGCCTTTATTAGCATCTGCCATCTGTTGTCTTTAACGCAATATAAAGTTGTGTATCATCGGCATAAAGATGATAGTCAAGGTCAAAGCTTCTTATGATCTTTGCAAGTGGCGAAGTGTACATTAGGTATAGCAGAAGACCCAAGTTCGAACCCTGAGGAACGCCCACATTAAGATATCTTACCGCGGTAGAATTCGCACCTTTGACCTTAATAAATAGCGATCGATCAGATTTAGACCATTGCAGTACAAGAGTACCGTCCCTGTTATTCCAAAATAATCAGTTCCCAATTGCGAAAGTAGCAATGAATGGTTCACCATGTCAAATACTACAGACATGTCTAACAACAGAAGAAATACATTACACACTAAGGTTGGAAAATTGTTCTGTAGATGGAAATTGGAGTGTAAATTTTATACATTTATTTGGACCTTAATTATCAGAAACAGCTGCGAAAAATTCAACTAAAGGCCCTCTTGCACAAATCGAACCTGTGGCCCTGCATATCCAGTGCATCGCTCTAACCAACTGAGCTACGGAGTCCAGTTGTCATACTCAAACAGCAAGTGCATTGGTAAGGTTTATGGAAAAATATAAGGATTTTTGGGCATCTCAAAACAAGTGAGAAATTCAAAAATTCCTGACATTATTACAACACTATACGAACTAACTGCAGGATTCAAACGGCGGCAATTTAGACGGAAATATAAGGCGTTAGATATGATAGAAATACAGTGAAAGGCCATTTCCATCATCATTCTTGTCACATTTTCAGAACTCATTTCCCCAAATGTGGCATGCTTGGACACTCCCCACCGTTGTATTGTTCCAATTTCGAACATCATGGATGAAAAGAATAATAAGCATCTTCTGAATACATACAAATTCGAGTGAATGATGATCGAATATAATGCTTTTTAAACAATGATCGGATATAATGCTTTTTAAAGTGCAAGTTCTCCTTCGGTAGCTCAATTGGTAGAGCGGGGGACTGTAGTTGTTGACAGCAATAATCCCTAGGTCACTGGTTCTAATCCGGTTTGAAGGACCATTCCTCTTTGGAATATAAAATTTTCATAAAAACGAGCGTTTCTTTGTCAGTCAAATTTGTGGCTATACAATCCAGAAATATGTGATCGTGAAGGTCAGTAAAATAGTTCATCTAAAAGGATAAATTACTTAAAAATTATATACGCATCAATAAGAGTAAATTACTTGAAGAATTATATACAGATCATATGCGAAATGAGGATGCTCCACTTGAACCGCCCGATTACCTTAGTGGTAGAGACAGGGTAGAGCAACAGGCTTTTAATCTGAAGGTCATGGGTTCGAATTCTATTTCGGTCTGAATGAGGAGACAATATTTTTAAAGAAATCCGTCAACATGATATTTTTGGAGAAAAATTACAATTTGTATTCACTCCATGCATTAATATTTTTCCAAGCACTTACGTCATTAATTCCAAAGTTATGACAATTTTACGCCAATCTAGGTGGAAATTATCTGACCGTTATTTTTGGTCACTAATTAGAGTTGAACAGCCGTTTCAGTCTTCTTACGTTTGCATCCTCGGAAGCTCATTTCCTCATGCGGCTGATACCGGACATGGCGCCACCGCCCCTCAAACTGCCGTTGTATTGTAATCAGCAATCTTTATAAGTTATTATATCTAGCTCATTAAACAGGTATCCACAAATTATGCAGCTTAAGCACTGCAATATATTCGCATTTAATTTGATTTAATCTGAATTATCGCAGTTCTCTGGATCGCTTCAACTCAGTGCAGGATCGCATACGTAAAGGTACATTTTGTCCACTGCATGCACAAAAAGAAATATTACCACGCATCTATACAGATTTGTCTGATCCAATGAAAACTAAAAAACTTGGCGAAGGGTTGCAGAACATGTTGGTTTATAACCTTGTCCTTATTCTTAGCTATGGTTTTCAACTAAAATTAAACATTAACATTCTTACAAGGGTCCAAGGTTGAAATTGTCATGGCATGCAAATATCTGGTCAAATTTTACGTTTGTTTATAATTTTCACCTGTCAATTTTAACATATTATTAGAGGTATTTTTCTGCCGCCTCTTCAATAAAAGAATCGCCACTTTCATCAGTTAGTTTTTGTCTTGCAGCTTCCTTGCAAACACGGTTGATCTGATAGCGAAAATGTGGCTTGGAAGTTAGTAATATGTCCTTCACCGTGTCTCCCAACTTCATAGGGTTGGGCTTTTTAACCGATGACCTATTCTTCTTAAGACGATTGTTAAAGTTCTCATAGTAATCCACAGTATCACCATCCAAGGCTGACGTGTCGTTTTCCATCGCAAGTCGTATGGCCTTCGCATTCTTGTCTGATTCATTGGAAAGACTTGTTTCCAAAATTGACACACTTTAAAGAGGAAAAGTGATTGTATTAAACTCTGATTATTTGATTACTTGATATTGGGAGTTATGATACCTTTGTGTTATTTATTAGAGTTGGCGAGAATACAGTGTAACGGTTAGTAACATTTTCACAAATAATTTCATTTCATTAGATGTTAATTAAAATAATCTCAGAAATATTAATATAAGTCTGTTACTTCCATTACCAAAAAAATAATATCTTTTAAAAAACGTTCAATTACAGCGAGGCTAAGCTACGGAATTAAGGCAAGCTCTATATCGATCTTCGTCGATGAACAGTTCAGTTTTTGATTAATTGCGTCACACCACGACCTTGTAAACTATTTACCTTAATAATTATTTGTTTGTTACTGTGGTTTGTATACTAGTTGTCGATGTTTTCTATATATATACAGCTTGGACGCCCTCCATTGAAACCAGCTTTCGCTGATGGCGCTATAGCGTCATTCATTCTTAACGCGTGATTATTTGCAAATTTAAGAAAAATTAAAGATGCTGTAAAGTCCGTAATGTAAACAAACGCTTTGTTTACATTTTGAACTGCTATATTTGTAAAATATGATATACTAATTGAATATCTAACACTTTTCTGGTTCGCTATGCTTGTGAATGAATATAAACTCTACGTTCCAATTCAAAAAAGTTCGAAAGATGCAAAATTTGGGCAATGTTTATAGCTGCAGGTCCCCGTTTATGAGCAGAACTAATGCACAGAACGGACTTTACAGCATCTTTAGCTACACATTGAGAATGAATAAACGCGTGCCTTATTTAAATTAGGCATAATGCATACTCACTATATATTAAATCGGAGGCACTCTGGAGCTAAGGACTCGAGAAGGCCATTAACGGCAAATTTCGTAGCACTGTAAGCGGAATGAAATGGCATTCCAAATATTCCAGCTTGAGTATTGGTTACCAAAATTTTTCCATGGTGTTGTTTCTTTAATACTGGCAAAACAGAACGAATAATACGGGTAGTAGAGTACACATTACTTTCAAATAATGATTCAATTTGGCCAGATGTGTGTTCTTCAAGTGGACCAGCGAGACGGATGTCGGACGCAATGACTATAAATTAAATTTTGTTGATAAAGTCAATCAATTAATTTTACCATCCACAGACAAATAAGTCAATCAGCCGACCAAACATTCGACAGATTGTATAAAAAATAAAGCAGTTATTTGATTTATTTCGAGTTATATATCAACTGAGTGGAGTGTAACTTGGTCTGATATCAATCTTGCGATCGTAGGTCGCGCTGCACACAAGCTTCACGCAGCCTAGCTTATGTCGTATTTGAAAAAGGTTGAACGGGACACATGCATGCGCACTGGTTTTTCCTGACGCATCAGAATCTTGAAACGGCTGACCAATAGTTTAAGTTCTTAATTTAAAATTGCGTTATGCCAAGTGAAATACGTTAAATTGCCACTGCGGGATGTTTAATTTAATTAAATGTACTGGAAATTTCTAAATTATATTGTCATTATCAGCTAAATTTGCCACATGTCGACACTAGCGCTGTATTTGATCCAATTATCAGAGGTCGAGTTAAAACGGAAATTCTCAGGAAGAACTGGTTTTAAGATAAGCTTCGTACTTTGCCTCATATCTATCATTTACTGTAAATATATACCACTACATATTCCTTATAATCTGACATACACTTACGAGCTTAACTACAGTACATGGCAGCCATGCAATCATAAGTATCGTACGTCAATATAAAGTGCACCTTCATGGCGTTAGTATAGTAGTATACGTAGGTGTATAGATCTAGAAAACCTCCTGCAACTGGACAGAAGTTTACTTTAAAAACGAGGCAATCACATATTCAAATTATTCTGAACTCAAAAGAACTGAATTGCTATTCCGTAAAGCTAGCTGAGTACTGTATATGCCGTTTTGGTAATGGAGAATAATTATAACTTTTCGTGCTTATATCAACTTATGATGGGGATGGGCAGTTAGTTTGTTAGTTTTGCAAGATATGATCGAAATTTCACAGATAAATACTTCTAGAATCCTTTATCGTGCAGGCTCTGTTAGTCCAGGGCCTGCATTGATGCCCTACAATTACAATTTTGAATATTAGCTCCCAATTGAACATGAAGGAAGGGTATAGGCTTCCGTTTAAGATTTCCTTGCGCGAGCGTAATTTAAGATTTCAATTACCAACAAAGATATTTCTTAGCAATATGAAATTATACAATTTCAAAACGATATTGCGCAAACCCTAGAAATAAAGATGAAATTATTATAGAAGAAGGTTAACGTGAATAACGAAATTGAATGAAATAAAAAATAATGTAGTTTATCTCTGACCGGTTATATATTTTACGAGATGCGCCAAAATTCTCGACGTGGAACATTCGTTCAGTATATTTTCTTTTTCGTTATCGCATAGCGATTTCAGAAATATATTACATGTAAAAATTTGTATAGATTTTCTATGGCGTGAGCGTATAAACTGATGTGCAATATCCTGCTCATTCAATATTGGCCCGATTATACCAGAGACGCATAATCCGTCAAGACGCATAATCTAACAGATCATCCGTCTTTAGTATGAACACAAGACGAACAATGCAGACGAATTAGCTGGAATAGCACGATTTAAGAATCCTGGGAACAAACAATGCTTGCGAGACTCCGCTGAATTCAAGTAACGAAGTATCGGTTTTATCTGGCAGTTCGTCTTATGCCTTATTTGTTTACATAGATGGATCATCCGTCAAAACCCATTATCTGAATGTCTAAATCGGTATAGCAATTCAGTGGGGGAGGGGTACACGTTACATCTGAATAATCTCAACTCAGGACAAAGATATAATAAACCAAGAAAGGCTGGGAAGTCTTATGTTGATGTCCGTTGAAGACAATCTATTCAAGGAGTTTGACGTAGAACTCATTAATTAAAGCGTTTGTGGATATAATGATATGGTTCCAAGAAGAATGGATTCAGTTTAGATTTTTAAAGGTTAAATAAATGTATGTTATTATAAAAGCATGAATAGTTCTCAACCTTACTCTGTAGTTTATGAGAAGTAATGCATTGATGAGAATGCAGAAAGTCATGGCGTCTAAAGGTACGTTTACACGCTACGAATTGATGAAAGCGAATAGTAAGTTCGTGTGAGTATCTAGTGAAGTATGCAACATGAAGCCTAAAACGGCACTACGAAGTGAATCCTTGCAACAATGCAGCCGAGGTACTTGTCAGTAACTGAAATAGCAGCACTTAGACCCATATTTAACATATTCTGAAAGAAAATAAGTACTGCGGCAAAAACTGGAATGAGCAAGATCATAAAGATGTTAGATTGGAAACAGAGAATGAATTAAACTTTCCCAACATGTAATCATTATGATTTTAGATTTAACAAGACGCCTGCTCAGGCGTTCACACTGACCTGAAAATAACGAGATACGTGCTATGGTGCAAAAGGCAGGAATACAAATCTTAAACCGCAAGCAAATTTTATGGACTTTTTAAAAAAATAAATGACCTTTAAATTTTCGGGAGACGTAATGGTGCAAATCTATACTAGGAGTTACTATCGCAAGGAAAGTGCTGCCTTTATGGCGTATGATCTGAATGCAAAAAATTATACTTCTAGACAATTCTCGGTTATATCCCCAATGTTTCCTTCTCGTTCATCATTTAAGCCCGTTCACAAACTCATTCTTAAATTGTGTGCACGGAATACGAGTAAATAGCCAACATGAAAATGAAGCCATTGGGTCAAAAGTGGATATTAAGGTCTATATTAACCTATTAGCTGACAATGCACACTACTTTAGTATTAACTCTGGCTAACGCCAGACCAATTTACAC